ACTTTACTACTAAGCACCTCCATTGTTGCCACCGATAAAAAACGATGACTGAATCGCCCAGGCAGCAGCGAAACTATCATATCTTTGATAATCCGCTATCAAATCAATCAATAGCAAAAGAATTCTGTTGCCCACGCAGTATTCCTTCAGTTGGCCCTACTATTTTCACCGCAATAGGCACAATATACAGAGTTATGCACATTGTCAGGAGAATATAGCGCCGACATATGAAAAGCGATGTCTTCTGTTGAGCAACGGGCGTGGCAATAGAACCAGCAAGTGCCTTCGTTTAGTAGCAATTCCAGAGAAAATAGAATGGCCGCCTATAAGTAACGAGTTGTCTGCTCGGAGAAATAATTTATATCAGAAAATCAGCACTCCATCCGGCAGGAAGTTTTTAAAGAGTCCTAGATTGGGCATGTATCAATACTTCTGGTACCATTAGGTCGATAGCCCTGATTAATCCTGAAACTTTGCACTCAAAAGTACCCTCTTAGCTTGATTATGCCAAACCCCCAGAACTGTTATCGGCTTCACTCCCTTACCTCCAGTCATCTCAAGCAGAGAATGACCGGACTAATGCGGACAATCCTACCTACGTGTCTGGCTGACAGGACTGCAACCTTACGTCTGGACCGGTTTCATCTGACCTGTCGGCCTCTAGTCATTCGCCGGTTTACAAAGGACCACGCTTATACTATCATCGCTACTAATGCACGGGATTTTATACCCTCTTCAGGAAATAATTCGCCATCCAATAGATAATGGTTTCCAGGTACTTGAGGATGACAGAGTTTCATTGCCTTTGGATACTGGCATCTATAAGCACTAGACAGCTGCTTCATGCAGTCTGTATCCAAGTTGCGTCGACTGCAAATCCCAACCCGCAGCAATGTCCGAACTGATGCGCACGTTGCCGGCCTCCTGGTATTGCAGCCCGCCTCTCTATCAGCTTGAAAGAAGGGCTGTATTCTTAAAAGTATGACTAAAGCCTATCCTTGAGGAGAATCCAAGTTCTAATAAGCATCGCAGTCGTGGTATCTTGTTGGACCCGTCACTAGATTCTGTAATATCGGTGTCAAGATTGAATATGAGATAGCTCAGCAGCCTATATATGTTGTTCGGTGCTCGGGGGAGGGTCCGTTTCCCGGACAGGACGAGATCCAAGTAATCTGCGTGAAAACTGTAGGTCAGCTCAGCATCATCTCAGACATCAGACTGAGGATGCGTTCCATCCCATCCCCCGAGCAAAATGTCTATCGAGCTTCTTGTTGCTAAAAAGGAATTTAGGAACGACCTCTAAAGCATCACGTCACGCCAACAGGCCTCGTTTTCGCAACTCTATCAGACGAGGCGCCCAGCTTCCATGAGTATTTCCCGGACTTGGAGCCACTACTCGAACGGGTGAACTTTACCAAGCTCCCATATAGACACAGCATCAAATACGAAGGACGATTTAACTGGAAGACTATGTATTTGATACCTTTGCCTCGTATTCGGGAAAGAGTTCATGTCTCCCTAATCTGGCTTCCATGACAGGGTCGACGGCTACCAGGAATGCCTGCATTGCCAATATACGCACCCGTCATTCTCCGTATACTACCCGCCGACCTCGTACGCGGTGCACAATCATCAGAACTTTTCGCAGCATATCGCCGACCCGGAAAAGCCGGATGATGGTCTATTCCTTTATTTCTTCCCCAATTGCACTCTGAATGTCTATGGTGGAGGAATGTCCTCGTTCCGAGTATGCCCGACAGATGACCCGAATGTGACGAGGATGGAGTTTGACTACTACCATATGGAGTCGGGCGAGAAGTTCGACGAGTACTTCAAGTTTGTGCGGCAAGTGGCCATGGAGGACTATGAACTGTGTGAGAAGGCTCAAAGCAACCTCACTAAAGGTATTTACAGTGAAGGCATCCTCAACCCGGAGAAAGAGAGCGGAGTTTCATGTGAGTCACATAAAACCACTTGCATGCCCGGAATACAGTAAGCTAATCAGAGGGCAGATTATCAAGATCGGGTCTTCGAGCTCGTGTGTCAGCAGCACGCAGCAGAGAGACGAGAAAGGGAAATGGAAGGTGCGAAAGATGATACTCAGAAGAGGGGTCTGCAACGTATCACAACAGCTGCATAAGGCAAAGCTGTGTAAGCCGTGGTTTCGGGACTCGGTAACATGATCAATCTTATCAGTGGCGTTGATTTCAGTGTTCTGCACGGGCTGGCTCCTGTAATAGTCCCTGTAAATGATTCCTGTCAAGGTGTGGCATCAGATAAACCCTTGGCCAGGATCAGCCCAGCACATACTTTAAGCGTCATTCATGCGCAAGTTACTGGAAAAGAGCACCATATCTGGAAGGTCAATACTATCTTGGAGTAGATATAGTTACTTAAGTGCATGATCACCTGAAGACTTCCTCTTCTCTCACTGGACGGGGAAGCGGGAGTCATGCAGAACCTGTGGAGGTGACAGGGTCAGTGCTCTGTTCCTGATACTGCTTGATTGAAACCTCGGAATACCTTTTCGTGCGATAGTAAGCGCATAAAACCAATGGATTCCCTGTAGAAAGGTATGGCGGACAGCACAGTTTCAACATGGCTATAGAAGAACCGTATCCGGCTCTGCCTCCCGCCTTATCGGCCCTGGTTTTGGTTTCATTGTTAGCGGGGCTAGCTTTTCTCTTTCAATCCTTATCAAAGCCGCTCTTCCGGGGTTATAAGTCCCTGCGTATAGCTAAGCCGACGGAAACCGAACTGGATCCTGTTCCCGATGGTAACGAAAACATCGTCTGCAAGGAATCGGATTTTCCACAAAACTGGTGGACTGGCTCAGAAGTCTTTGAACTCGAAAGACGGGCAATCTTTAGTAAAGTACTATGCGCGATATTACTTTCACTTTCGAAGACAGGGAATCAAACATGATACTCACATAGAATCAAATAGAGATGGCTCTACCTAGCCCACCGTAACCGGTTCACCAAACCCGGCGATTACCATTCCTTCGAAGTGGCCGGTATCCCAATATTCCTGGTACTGGGGAAAGATGGCGTCGTGCGAGCGTTCCATAACGTCTGCCGTCATAGAGCATACACAGTCACGCGGAAGGAGTGTGGCTCGTCTATGATCCTTGGTTGTCGATATCATGGCTGGAGCTATAACACTAAGGGACAGCTCATCAAGGCACCTCACTTTGACAATGTTCCCGGATTTGACAAGGCTCAGAATAGTTTGTTTTCGATTCAGATTAAAACCACACCTGCGGGCTTTATATTCGTGAATATGGATGCATCTCCGACGATGATGCCATTGCAGACAAGATCTCTTGATTCCTTTGCGGGCCGGCATGGCATCGGACGACAATCTACGTGGCTGGGAGGGCAAACATTGGAAGGTCGGTTTAATTGGAAGATTGCCTGTAAGTTCTTTCCCGGTTCCTTTCTAAGACATAAAATGTATCTAAACTTTTGGTACAAGTGAGGTTACAGAGATTCATCGACCACACGGAACTGGAGACCGAATTCTCACAGCCAACGTATAAGGCACTGTTATTGAGCTTGTTCAATCCATCACGAATGCGCTCGGAAGATGTTCAAGTCTTCCCTTTTACTACAATTCATACCGTCCGCGGAGGGGTACTGTGGTACTCCCTGAGCTTCATTCCCATATCTGAGAGTAGCACTTCAGTTCGGATTGACTTATACTCCCAAAAGGACATGGGCAGTCCTGCGCCTGCACCAACAGCAGAAACACTCTTCCGCAAATTGTCGAACAGTATCCGAGAATTAGAAACTCAGTTCGAGTCACCTTCTGAAACACCCACGTACGTTCTACAAACACCAAAATCAAGATGGAGAACTAAGCAATCACATCTCTCCAGTCTACCCACCTATATCACATCAGCACCAGACCCAGCTGGCACAGGTGATTGAGTTCCAACCCAACCCATTCCTTTCACTCAAAACATCAGTCTTACCAACACCCGTACCAGTAGACACACAACGCGAAATCCTCGAGGCTATCAAATCCCACGCCAAATTAGAAAAACAACTAGGAACCGAGATCTTCCCGGCTACGAGGAGACCTAGAACCAACGCACGATTCGAGCAGGCTGAACAAAGTAAGACGATGCTCTTCTCCTCCTCCATATCTCTCTCTCTCTCTCTGCTGTACTAACATTGTAAGTAACAGTCTGCAAAGACCTAAATTGCCAAGACACATGGAACAGCAAGAGTCTTGCCTGGTGAGATATACATACATACATAGCACAGGTACTTATGAATAGGATGAGGGAATGTTGTTTGCTGTTGTGGAGTCCTGGTGGACACTGAATGACTCAGTTGAATCAAGTTATTTAGCTTAACTAGTTAGTTAGTTGACTATTGGTTTCAATAATATTTAATGCAAAACAATGTTATGGGATTGATTCAAGGGATAACATCTAATTTAGTCTAACACAGCGGTTTCAGACTGGGCGGGGGGAGAGGGACAACTTCATTTCATCGTTACTGGTAGAACGAACACAACAAATAGTCAAACAATCTTACGAATGATGAACGCAAGGGAGAATTTGGACAGTAGTATAAGATACAGACGCGAGTAAAACATAAGGTTGGATGGAACTGCTTACTATTAATGACAGAAGAGTAAGTAGAGAGCTACGCATGTACATTCCTGGCTGGCTGGCTCGTACCAAAAAGTCAATGTGGATCCCCACCTTCGTCTCAAGGGTCCAGTGGCAGCGGCAGCGTGTAAACCTTCCCTTTTCTCCCTTGAAACCCACCCCACACTTCTCTCATCCTCTCACCGATACTCAGTAGTGTTGATCAGGGCCGCCATCTACAATTTAACTCCACGGACCCTTATTAGAAAAAATATTTAATTCCAGGGCAGAAACTAAGGACACAATTCCTTCTAGGAAATTATCTTATCACCATTAACCTCAACTTCCAAACTCCCCTTAACGCAGGAACACACATTTAGCCCCCCCCAGCTCTCAATTAATTAAAACCACGCGGTTCTGGGCCGACCGATCGATCTAAGAATCCTGACACGATTTCGGGACGAGGTAAGTACTGAAGATCGCCAACAATAGCATCTCCGATCAGACTTCCCATAATCCCTCTCGGGCCAGTACGGAGAAAGACTTTGTTATTTCCGGCCACGTGGTTGCGAGCTGACGCCGGAGCAGAGACCTATACGAACTTGTGTGGCACACGCGTTGGCTTATCTTACTAGTGTCTAGTATCTGACCATGGCTTTTCCTCCGATAGCGAGGGCGACCTTGCAAGCTGCGCTGATTAATGCGGGTTCCAATGTTCTCGCTCAGGCTATTGGGGCTTATAGGGATGAGGTATGTTGATTTGTTGTTTCCTCGGTAAAAGTGAAATGGCCGGCGATGATGTCGGGCCGGAGATGAGTGATTCGTTCGCTCTTGTGTGGAGTATTAGCTACTACTAGTATTCGGTTACAGCTTCACTAACCATGGACGCGGTTTGTTGGTAATCCGTGAGGGTGATGGCCCTCCCGATTGCCGATATTATGATGCCTATAGAGACCCTTTGAACTAGACACTCAAGTCTTGTTTCAGTTCACTACTTGCGCCTTTGTTATTTCACCCTTGACCTTCTTGTGGCTTGAGGGTCTCGAGGCGAAATTTCCAGGCTATGATGAGAGCTCTGCTCCCAAGCCGAAGACGGAGAAGAAGGAGGCACAGAAGCCCAAGCTGAATGTGACGAATACTGTGGCGAAGATTGTCATCGATCAGATCGTCGGCGGTGCCTGGAACACGGTAGCCTTTATCATGACGATGGGACTTTTGCGCGGTCAGAGCTGGGATGCCATTACGCTGCAGGTCCAAAAGGTTTGTTACTGGATTCATGTTGCTATGATCCGTTGGATGCTGACTATCATTGCCAGGATTTCTGGCCCATCCTAATCGCGGGATTCAAACTGTGGCCTATTGTCTCTATCTTGAACTTCACAGTGGTACCAACAGACAAACGGCTGCTTGTTGGCAGTCTGTTTGGTGTGATCTGGGCCATTTATTTGAGTCTGATGTCTGGTTGATGTTGTATTAGGTCATCTGAGGAGCTTTCCTGGATTGCCAGGCTAACGGGTCTATGTTGGAAGCTAGGATGGGCGCTGGGGTCCTGGGACTTGCGGGTGGTGTTCACGTTGGTTTAGCAATCAGCTTGAAACCGAATCTCAAGATTCGCAACTTGTGCTTCTTAGGGCACTAGTATATAAAAGTTGAGACATCCATTACTTGATCCTACCGCGTTGGGTAAGCTCGCCAGGGGGGCGACAGAGAACTGACAAGTGCATGCAAAGGGAAGGAGCCTGATCAAATCAGAGATAAAAAGGGGCCAGAGGTGAAATGGCGGCAATGCGCTAGATAAGTAATACTGGACCATGCTCCGCATGATCACCAGACAACGTTCAGATAAATGAATGGTTTTTTGAGCGACCCGTTTGTTCCATTTGGCCCCCATTTTCCGTCCCCCGAGCATCCGAGAGCTGCAATAGGGAAGCCTAGCTGAGCTGCAGGCCCACCTTGATTTAGGGGCTAGAACACATGGCACGACACGGTCTCTGTAGCCCGTCTCCCAAATTTTTGCTGTTAATTGGGCGACGGGCGTTATCTTTTGCAGGTAGTTAGTGGATGGCGAGAACTAGGAAAGTACGGTCCAGTGCGGGTGTACCTGAACCATAACCTGATATGGCATGGTAATGCAACTCGAACCCACCTTGAGAGTACTAGGATGATTAAGGCAATAATCGCGTAGGCAACTTTTCTTGTATTGATTTGGGAGGTGTCGAGAAATCACGCTGTTATGAAGCCTTTGACAGGAGTCAGTCAGATTATAGTCAGGTGACATGCCTGGGGCTCTCATCGATGGGCCATTATGTGCCTCGTGAGACACGCCGAAACGAAGATTCGATCCAGACGAGATTCAAATGGCTGCAAACTCCCATGAAACCAACGCCAATTTGAACCATGATGCTCTCCAGAACCAGGTGTTTATTCGTCGAGCAATCACGTAGTAATGAAAATAGTAATCCATGCGCGAAAGCAACTGAGGCGTTGGAAATTCGTCTTAGCTAAGTGATCGGCTGTCTCATACACATTTGCATTGATCCCGGGACTCGAGGAACCGAATAACAAGCGACCGTTCGTATGAATGGATCGATCCCTCGAGTCTTACTAAGAAAACATGCTTCGTTTGAACTCAACGACTCCGTAGAGTTACGGAGTTTAAAGATGGATTTACGTACCCGCAGATCCGTCTCATTGCATGCAGGCATGAGTGTGCTCCGACGTCCGAAGGCTGGCGACATGATTGAATCCATGATGCTGGGCACCCACCTACCTGGGTTTGCATGAGGCAGACAGGGATGGAGAGAGACGGCGTACGCAATCTGCTGGGAATCGTCATCCCAGTCCGGGTTTAGTGTGCTCCCTAGTATCTCATTCGTGAGACACTGCCTGGTTCCCAAGCCACAGCGAATGGCGTTGCATTTTAGCGTCTGCACTGGATCAAAGTAGGTTAAGGTGGGTTGATAGGGAGGAATTAATAGATCAAGGCTGTGGCTGTAGCAGAATTCGGTAACGGTCATACGAGCTGAAGAGACAATGGGGACTGCGGGAGGATTGGCGATCAGAAGGCTGGTGGATGGCGCAGCCACGATCTGGGTCTTTTGCAGATTCCACAGCTTCAGGATAGAGTAGTCCCTCAAGTGTAAGGCATTTTGCTGGTAACCTATCTGCAATAGGAGTATCCTCGTAAGGCGAAACCAGAGGATGAGATTGTTGTCATCATGATGGAGAAAGAGAGTGACCGGGGGAGGATGTTTGGCCCCTCGGATCCGGAAAGACGGGCGGAGACTCTGACTGACAAGAAACAACTCGCTTTCCTCCCCGGGAAAACATAGTGGCACGGACAACTACAGTAGTCTCCCTCACTAAACTGTGTATCTACTCCCTACTAGGAGTAGTTTTGGCCCCCGCGGTTTAGAGTCGATCCATTCTTCGTGCCACCGTCTCCCTAGCCTATCGCTAGGCCTATCCACCTCTGCTTACTCCATTAATTATTAGCTGGCGTCATGTCCCCAACTGCCCGGACGCGCATTCCCTCCGATTTAGGGATAAGAAAAGCACCTCCCCCCGGCACGTGGAGACTGCGACGACCAGGATTTCGAGTCAGATTTCATTCCAGTCTTACTTGGGTAGGACTTCAATGGCATTTCTATCTGCTACAACCTCTCAATACTCGTAGCTGTGCATCTCAAGACTCTTTGTCGGTCGCGCGTCATCTGCTCCATCGAAACTCTTTTTCTTTGTTCGCCCGCTCGGCCTTGACTGTCAGTATACTGAACCCAACACTGTGCTTTCCGTGATCCCTTTGAGCTGATCCGTCGCGAACAGTCGGGTGCCACCTTTCGCTATCCTTGTCACCCTTTCTGAAAGGGTTCACGCAAACCTGGGTTCAACCTTTATTGAACTGTCCGGAACGGCTTGCTCGCTCGCATTCATCTCCGGCCCTCCACTTCGGACTCCGCTCGTTCGGATTTTGGGAGTCTCTACTTAGTTCGGCCAGTCGTACTTCTAAATATACGGAACAAACCCCGAAATAACATTGTCGGACCCAACAAAGGATAACAACAAGGGCGTCTTTAAGACCATGTTGTACATGTCCCTAAACGGACGGGTGCACTGTGCCATATGACAACGGACTTTGTGTATAGGTAGCAGCCAATTGTCACCATCGAACCATCCAGGTGCCCCAGGGGAAAGACTGTTGGCTCGGTGCGGAAGCCTGTCCTACGTTAAACAGGCTTTGAAGAGTTGGTATAGGGCTAGTTAAAGGCCCCCTCAATCCCAAAGATGGAGGTGCTGGACTTGCCTAAGCGCAATTCACCCATTTCACAATCCACCGCTGTCGCAATGGGACCAACATCTCCCCATCCTGAAGAGAAGGCGTCGGATGCCCCATACATGGTGGACGATGACTTTGCTGGAGATGATGAAGATGGCGATGATGATTCTATTTCGCCTATTTCTGAGAGAGCACCTCCATGGTCTGGAACTCGCTGGGCTCGTTTTTTCCCCGAACTGTCATCTCACTTCTCCTTGGCGTCCCCGACTAACAGTACAAATCCGCCCTTTCCGCAATTTCACACGAAGGGCCCGCCCCATATTGACGGTCCCTCACAGCAACCGGAAAGAAGGAGTAAAGGGCCTTCTTCTCTGTCGTCTGAAGATGTGGCGGATAACAGGTCATCAAGTTACACTAGCAGGTCTTCCTTGACGAGTCAGGGATCCGAAGCTACATCGCCAGTTCATAAATTGGCGGATAGTCTTCACATAACGTCACCCACAAGGGCTGGCGTCTTTGACGAGTCAAAATATGCGCATCAAATTCCTCCTCCGTTCCCCAGCCGCTCCTCAATTGCTCAGTCCAAAGAGAAGCCTCTGCCTCAGGAGCCTCCCATTGAGTTGACACCACTCTCAATCCGTCATAAAACCCCTCAAATGCACGATAGACGACCCGGATATGTTGGTCGCTTGGAACCTCCGCCACGTTCAAAGAAGCATGCAAGTCATCATCATCCGACGTTGTCGCAGGCGTGCAACGACCTGGAGAGGACTCTAGCCGGACTTGGTGAGCAGCCGCAGACACCCGGGCAACTCTCCCCTCGCAGTCCTCTCCAGATTCTAGACGGGCCTCTGCAGATTAGTAGAGGCAATATGGACATGGTTGCGACCCGACCAGCCCCTCGACCCCCTGCTAGCGTGCATAACAATCGTCAGATCCACAAAGTCAAATCCCGCGAAGATGTGAAACAAACAAAGAAATCACTGAAGAACAAACCGTCCTTTTCCTTCTCAGTACCAGCCTTCGGTCGGAAACTGAGTCGTGTCCATCAGCGATCCACCAGTAACACCAGCTCCAAGTCAGAACCTGAATCCTACCGGGCCAGCATCCTCCATCAGCCAGCTGTCGCAGAACTTGGAGACGGCGAGATCGCTGAGCTACAGGGATCTTCAGTCATTGGTGTCCGTGAGAGACCTCTTTCCGCTGGCGGGGAGAAGGAACTTCGGATGAGGCTTCCCCGCCTTCAGACAAAGGAAATGGGGGAGTCCGGTCGGAAAAGAGACAACTTCCACAGCACTCATGAAGACCCTGAACAGCTAAGAAGGCCGCATGAGAGAGCGAGGGGCGCTTCTGTCGGAGATAAGTACTTCGTATCGTACAGCAAGCTCGATGGTATACCAGCCACTCATCAACATCAACAAACTTCGCAAACTTCAGCGATGGTCTATGAGCTGGAAGGCGGGTCCCCACAACCGCCAGCCGAGCTGCAAGGCGATACCACCACTGCGATCGATGTACCTGTCAGGGTATCTGTCAGTGTATCTGTTGGCGCAATGCCTGGTACTCTGCCTGACCGCGTTATATTAACGGTCTTGGAGCATATCACCTCCCTCGATGACCTTTTCAATGTTGCGGTAGCCCGCAGAGACTTCTATCGAGTGTTTAAGAAGCACGAGTTGAAGCTTATGAGGATAGCTGTATTCGCCATGTCTGCGCCAGCGTGGGAGTTGCGCGAAATGAGCCCGCCATGGGATACCGAATGGCAATTTGTGCTGGATCCTGACGCCCCTGTGCCTGAATACACGCCCAGCCGCTATCTCAAGCGCTATGCTGAGGATATATACACACTGGCTCTTCTCAAATCGCTTATACTAGCTCGTTGTGGGACTTTTCTGCGCCCCGAAACGATCCGTGGGCTATCCGGCACTGACGATGTTCGTGCCGCCGAGGTTGATGATGCCTTTTGGCGGGTTTGGACTTTCTGTCGCCTTTTCGGTTCCGGGAAAGGTAGAGAGGGAGACATCGCGGGGCAGTTGGATTGGTTGAGGGGTGGCAAGGTAGCCAGGAACCGACGTGTCTCGGAATTCACGTCTATAGCCGATCCATATGACGCGAATAGCGTTTTGTTCGAACCTCCTGCGGGGTTCGGGGATGGCAATACAGGAGGCTTATCAAAGGAGCAGCTTCTTGATATGACGGAGATATGGACCTGCTTAGGTGTGCTTCTTCAGCCAATGCACGGTAAGTGTATTGAAGCACGAGCAACTGGAGTATTCGACGGGCATAATGTAGAGGCAGACGATTCTGCCAAGGAAGAAGCAGTTTTAGGTAAGCGCATCTCACCTTGATGAGGTTGTTGTTGGCCTCACTGTTACCAAATCGCTAACCTGTCTGAGCAGAGGAGTGGACCTACTACATTCTCACACTTGGACTTTCAGCCGTCTTGGTGCTCGGCTCGATTCATCCCTATGACAATACTACTGCTGTTTTCCAGAGAGCCCATTCGATGGGCTTGACCAACTGGGAAGCATCTGACACTGGTGCGAGCCGTTCGTCATTCCTGAGAGAGGCTGTGTCGAAAGCTTGCCAGCCAAGGGGAAGTAGTACTTCTCAGGTGTCAACGCGCTCTCCTGGCTTTGGCTCTCCACCTTCGGGGTCGCATGATGTATCACAAACTTCTAACGTTCCCGGCGACAGAGAGTCTTCGCCTGACTTTCATCGCCGACGGCAAGCTGCCTACTCTGCCCAGTTAAGGAATCAGAGGCAGCAACAGCCCAGTCCACCCAATCCTATGCTTGCTGAAGAACGGCCCATATCGCATTATGCGACCATCATGAGCCGCCTAGAAGGCCTTCCGCCCGCGCCTCAGCCGCCAATGTCTGTGTCAAGGATAGAAATACCGCCTACTACCCACTCTTACGTGACAAACGTGTCCTATATGCAACCCCTCCAACCAGTCACACCAGTGTACTACCCACCACAGGTTCGCGACCCTGTTGACCACGCCATTGACATCATGGTTCGAGAACTTGGCTTTGCGGAAGAGGATGCCAAGTGGGCCCTCAAGATAACAGACAGTGGCGAAGGTATAAATATGAATGCGGCGATATCTTTACTCACCAGGGAACGCAGGACCCATGAGCAGAGTAGCAGGGGATTTTCCCTAAGGAAACGCAAAAGCTTTCTCTCCTCGGTCATCAACAGTCCGGAGTCGAGACATTCAGGCTGGAAATGGGCTTGAGCAGCAATACATCCTCGATTATTGTTGTCGCTTTATCTTCACATCCATGGCAGCTAGTCCTGCAGTTGTTGTATGTTCTGATTCATAATTGCATTGCATTACGGCCTGCCTCCTTCCAAGGGTTTCCTTTGGCTCTAAGGCGTTGTTGTTCGGGTTGATACCACTGTGTACCACAATCTTCTGTTGCTTTTATCTCTATTACAAGCGTGTATAGCCATATTTTACCATTCATTGATTGACCATCCAGGTTTCTGGAAAACCTTGAGAAGATATCGTTCTAGACTTCTCTTTTAGCGGAACTGGAGCTTACAAGGACGCCCGTTGATCTACTGGATAACCCCCTCCCCTTCTTAGGGATGTACTTTTCAAATTCCAGCATCATTTTGTAGCAATTCTGGAGCCCCTTCATGAGGCTGTTCACCCGGGCTTATAGTGCTGAAATGGCGCAGCTTTAGAAATCAAGGCGGCCTTCGTCAGCCGATTTGCAAGGAGCTCAGCGACGGACGGAAAGCTAGCAGGAGCCCTGGATGATGGCAAAATAATCATCTATTCTGTGTCGAGAGCATTTGAGATTGGTTATCAGCCGGTACGTCACGCCAGTCCACGTACTGTAAGAGGGCTGACGGACCGTGTTGAGGGTAAGGCTATCCTTACAGGCCAGCGGAAATCCCGAACCTCCCCGTCTCAACCCACTGCAAGCCAAATACTAGCCAGCTCAACTTTCGAAAGCCATCTGCTTCGGCGGGCGTTCTTTCCCTGGCGCCCTGGAGAGAGTGGCCAGAGCATCGAACAAAAGGGTGAAAGTTTAATGGTTAATTATAACTATTTCCGATGTGACAAATCGGGCCTGAAACAAACTTCCAGACTATTGTCTCGGGAAACTGCTTCGACGCTCATCCCACCCGGTTCCTTGGTGCTTCTTCGGGTGTTCTATTCTAGTTTCCTAGCTTGCAGGAAGCTTCATTACTTTATGCAAGCTGTCATGGACACGGTGAGGTCGAATGGATCCCGCTTGCACGCACGTCCGGACGTGCTTCAGCTGACAGCCAAAGACCCAGCATGTTCTTTCATTCATTGGGGTCCCCGACCTTGACATGTCCTTCGAAGCAGTTCGACTGGCATGGATATTGCTGGAACTATCTCGTGGTCTAGCCAATTATTGGAAACGTCCCTGACGCGGTTGTGATGTATCAACTCGGGAGGAGAGGAGGGCCCCCGACGATCGCAAACGAGGCTTCCCTTTGCTTTTTGCGAGTCTTCGCCGAGAAGCACGACTCAGCCCGGGAAATCTGACAAATGATGTGCCAATGGCATTGCTTAGAAGGTGCAAAATTATGAACAAGACAAATAAGAGGGAAAAAAAAGGACGATATGATATGATATATCTATGGCTCGACTTTAGGACAGAGATAATGCGGTGAGAGCGGAGAGGCCCGGACAGGTTTGACCCTCGAACTTGTTCGACGCAAGGGGGGTCCGGTTTGTTTATTGCAGGGAGGAAAACGAGGGGAACACAGGCATTGCACTCGCTGGCTGCATCAAGGCGGTCCATCAGTTTGTGGAATCAAGATAATGTTATCGATGCTGGTGATGCAAGAAAATGGGCGGCAAAGCCTACCAACCAACCCTGTCGTCCATCCCTCCCTCGGCATTCCAATCGATCAATCGTCCAATATATCACTTTTCACTGAACTCAAGCGCCTCTCCTTCGCAAGCTTTGTTCCAGACTAACATGCGAGGGATGACAAGCGTTAGCGCTAGAGGAGAAACTTCCCCAGTCCCTCCTAGAAACCATCAAGAATGGGGCACCGCCGTTTACTTCTAGACAAGACCACAGGCTGACCTGCATATGTATGTATCTGCGCCAGCATGTCCAACAGCTCATTAAAAGTGACGCCTCATCCTGACTTTTGAGGGTCTGATCTCTTCCCGACATTTCGTTTCAAACGGACAGCCGCACATCTTCAACGTCGTTTTTTCCTCTCATCCTCCTGTCCTTGTGCATCTTCTTCACCTCCCCCCAACATGGCTACGGAAGCCGTTCCCGACGCTAACCTGTCGGTTCAGAGGTAAGTTCACGCATTCCTGTGCTGTCATGGCTGCAGCCTGTATGGGTGATCAATGAACAACTAACCCACGATATCAATTGGTCAGAGATTTCGGCGACATTCGAGGGCTGCAGACGGAGGCAAAGCGACAATTCGATACAGATATCATCCTGAGGAATTCGTTACAGGGTGCTCCAAATAGGTTCGAGGCCAAGGGCCGTGTTCTAAGAGCCTCAGACGTGCTGCTGTCTTTAGTTGGCAGATCTACAAGCGGTATGCTGCCCCCCGGCTACCTACATATGGGTGCAGCCTGTGGTTGTATTTGCATCGGCTAAAATTGGGATTAACCTGGTTGGCAGAGACGGACGATGCTTATCCCGGTGTTGCAAGTACGCAGGAGGCTTTGCGTTGTTTTCCTCCGTTTCGAGACGATGATGGGACTATATTCGGTGCAGTGGATATCAATTGTCCCGACTGCAATGCAGTTTTTTCTTCGCTGTACGGCCGAACTCGATATTCCCCTTGATTGGTACAGACTTTGACATGTCATGCAGAAGCGAGTTGAGACATCACTATCTAACGAAATACTGTCCTGGCACTGCAATTGCCGTATATGTGATGACGCGGGACCGGTATCTGACCCTTGTTCAGTTTATTTTGGACAGAATTGCTGACTGGAGCTACCACTATAGTCTGATCACGAAAGGTTACCGTGTTGAGAAACGTTTCATCCCGCTCAACTCCCGGCCGATTTGCTTCTTCTGTGGCAACTGTGAAAGGCCATTTACATTTGGCGATGGTGAGGAGGAAGGGCTTGATCGGCAACGAAGTATGATCCGCCATTGTCTGTATCACTAGCGGGGCCTAACCGAGTCTCAGATACGCCATTTTTTGTTGACTGCAAGCATTGTGGTGAACCATGCAATGTCTCGTCAGTATTTCCTCGTGCTTGAGCTTCTATGTGTGCAGTGGAAATCTTTTCTGACGTGAGGACTGCAGATACCAGCCGATCTTGAACGATCCGCGGGACGACATCGTTGTTAGGGGCACAGCGAGAGACATGGCCAGTGCTAATCACAGTCGAAGTTCTAGCTTTACGCAGAAAGGCTCCATGGGTTCCAAAGTCCCATCAACAAACGGCGCTGGGGATCAGTCCTTTTCCAAAAAAGCCCGAAAGATACGTGATTCCTGGTCGCTCAGAAGTACGTTATCTCCCAATCAGTCATTGAATGCTTTCCGTACTAATACAGCTAAGAGTTCTCACAAGGCGAGGAGGATGAGCTGGTCGCTATCGGATTTTCGGGGTTATATGACCTGGAACGAGGTATGCCACCGGGCTTTCTGATAATCTCTAGATGCTAATTGGATTGGTAGTACATGCCCCCCACGGCATCTATCAACAAATCGAAAGCAACAATGAGCCGGGAACAGCTCTGTCAACAATGAGCTACGCTACGAATGGTATATATGAAGCCGACTAGACAGCCAGAAGCTCAGCTAACTTTCTGCCTATAGGAGTAAATTATAATGGATCCATAGTGGAGTCTAAACGGACGCTCTGTGAGGAGGAAAGCGGTCGTCCGGGCCCTAAGAACGAGCTCCGGAGTGGTCAGGCTGAGAAAGAACGCCCGCAAGCGCAACAAAGAGCCTCATGGAGGCAATCCTTCTTGCAGAGACTCTTCGGTCGCAAGGTCCCCAAAGGTCAGTATGCTGAAGCCAGTCTACCGAATTAGCACTCACTCCTGTAGGTGTCTCGCGTGCACGATCTACCTCAGATCGCGGTAAGAAGTTGATTAAAAGAGCGAACACCATACGGTTCTCGTTCGTCACCAAGTACACGCGAAGCGAAAGGAGAGCAGCAACGACCCGAAAGAGTGACGTGGTTTCGACGGATGGCCGGACGCAGGTCACTGAGCCTACGCAGGAATCTGTCGCGGAAACCGAATACATGGCCTTGCTACGGGAAACGCAGAATATCTTCATCCACACCCAGCATATCTCGGGCGGTGCTATTGTTCACGATGCATCTGGGCGTCAAAGGATTTTGAAGATTGATGAGATTGCCCAGCTTTTCCTACAGATTAAAGACGAGCTCTCGGCTGCAAGCATTTGGTCTCGTATCCTCCACGAACAGATGCGAGCCCAGAATGCTCTGAATCAGGGGAATCTGGAAACTGCAATGAGCAAATTTCACAATGCGCTGAGATTGCTCGATGAGTGTCCAGCATTAGATATTGACAAGCATTGCCGAGCGGTACTTCTCCATTCCTTGGGACGGGTATATCGCCATTTGGAAAGGACACAAGAGGCGACTGTCTGTTATTTGACGGCTCTTGGATTATTCAAGCGGACATTTGGGCGCGACCATCCCGATAACTTCGCCATTCTGCATGACCTAGGAGCGCTCGATTCGAAGGATGGATATGCTACACAAGCATCAGCTTTATACGAGCGCTCGTTTGCAGGTCGCTTGAAGACATTGGGGCACAACGACCCAGAGACTCTGAAGAGCATGCAGGACCTTGCCACGCTGAAGGTCGCTTTGGGTGATTTGGAATCGGCACTCCTCCTTCTGGAGAAAGCAGCCCCGGCACTAGATACGGTTTTTGGGCTGCATAACGAAAGAACATTGATTGCAAAAAACCAACTATCTCTCCTGTACCACAAACTTGACCTGAATAAGGAGGCCCAAATGATCTGCGGCCGAACCATCCCGCATTACAAGGCAGTCTTCGGTATTACCAGTCCTATCACACGAGAAGCGGTCGTTCGGTATCTTGAATGCTCTGAGAATTTCGACTTTCCAAGTGAAATAAATGACATTCTTGATCAATATCAACATTCTCGGGAACCAGACGCCCTGCGGGTCATCCAACATCTAGGACGATCGTATATCAACGCTGGCCTCTATCGGGATGCCGCGAATGTTTTCGAATCTTTGGTCGAAGACTTCTTGGCCATCAAGGGACCAGAAGCAATTGAAACGTATGATGCTCTCAGCGCCCTCTGTGTCTCCCACGAACAACTCGACTCTATCGACAAGGCCATACTTGCCTACAAACAGCTAGTCCATATGGCGCGACGAACCCCGGAAGACCGCTACCTGCAGACGAGGATAGGGTTCGCCGAGGAGAGGATATTGGCTCTCAACGGACGAAGAAATATGCTCGCAGCTGAGAAGCAAGATTGGGCATGCATGGAGCCCGGGCCGTGTGAGAAGTGCGGCACCCCTACCACCACCTTGTGCAACAGTAAGTTTTCCTTCCCTTTCTTTTCCCACGCGCAGTTCTAACCTAATATGCAACGACCAGCCTGCAATATCTTCCGTTTCTGCAATGATACATGTCACAAGGCTGCCTCAGCCTCCCATGCTTCCCAATGCATCCCATCCGTCACCCGTCTGGAATCCAAGTCCATCCGAATGAAGCACAAATGCCCCGTCCCAGCACGCGACCTTGCGATCACCAGAATCCGCCAACTCGACACCACCCGACCTGTCAATATAACAGCCAGTACCGCTTACCATCTCGACCATCGAAAATTCACTACCTTCCGGATGAAACTCAACCCAGACGTTAACACAGTCATCGTCTTCGCCCGCGAATCCGACATCCGCTACACCATGATCAACAACCCTCCACATCTCTTCCCGCCCAGCAAAGTCCAATGGACCACCCCAGAGCGTCAAGAATCTATCTTCTACGCCCCCGCATCCCCCGGCTCTAACCCAACAGAAGAAGCAAGATACCTTCTCGTCGCCCCGGGGAAGAAAATGCTCCGCGCGTTGGTCGATAAGCGCGTACGAGTCCGTGGCGGCGGCGGCGAAAAGGAACGCTTCCGAGCCCTTGATATCCCCAACAAAGACCTGGTCGAATACGCCCAGGGACTCGTCCTAAATGATTATCCGTATGAACCGTTCATGTACGTTTTTGAATGGGTGTGGAAAGACTAAGTCGAAACGCCATCGCATTGAGATATATGATATCGGTAATTGAACTAACCTCTCGGGATTCCCTTCGTTCTGTTTCTTGTGTGTGTGTTTCATTTCCGTGTTTGCTACTGCTACTACTGCTACTACATATGAAGTTTCTTACTGTGTTTTTCATGTGTTGTTAGTTTACTACTATGTGTGTGATTCTCCATGAGTGCAGTGTCTGTGATTTATCAAGTTCCGAGGTTTTATATATAATGCTGAGATCATATTGCGTTGAATTGTTTCATCATTTTGCTTATTTTTCTTCTCATATAAGTCGATACCACCACTTCTCTCGGCTCTTTGGATCGTCCTCGTTCTCGGCTTCAGTCGAAGCTTCATTTGGAAATCAGTCAATTTCCCCTGATATCAGATATCTGTACACTCTGTACGTGTATCTCTTATGTGGTTTTTCGCTTTCAATGTTGTTTGTTGTATGTTATGTATATTTGAGCAATTTGGAAAAAGTGTGAGCACTGAGTATGTTCAAATGGGTAAATTGCAATGCAAGATTAAGCAGTGATGGAGTTTCAAATTCTAACAAGGGGTACATCATAAGCTAAACCGCAAAATCAAAATCCTATTGATACAGTTGCCAATCAGAGGCGAAAGAAAGAAAGGAAGGAAGGAAGGAAGCGTGACTGGAACACGACACGACCGGTCTATCTAGTAGTAGTAGCAGAGGTCAACGAAAAAGAAACATCCAAGGCTATCAATATCTATCCGTAGTCCAAATCAAAAGAAGTCTCATCTTCCAGACCAGCATATACAATGCGCGCATATAACGACGCCGAACACCATGCATGTCTGTATGCATTGGGGAAAAGAAAGAATGGATGAATAAAAATGCACCATAAAAGACGTGCTCAAATAGTAAGGTCCTCGAGGCCAGGAAGGTAATCAGCGAAAGGCGTGCTCTTGTCTATGGAACGGAAATGTAAGTGATAAATCGTGAGGTCGTAAAGATTATTCTTGTTTTAGCTCGGTTGTAAGGATCAGTGATTGATTGATTGGTAGGAGTAATAAGGGTGCACACTGTGCCCCTCTCACGCATCGGCTTCGTCATCGTCTGACTTGTACGTGTCGTCGCTGTCGCTTTCCCAGTCCTCGGCTTCGAGGGAACGGCCTCGGATGCCGAAACTCAGGATGAACCCGACAAAGGAGACGGCGGCGAAAACGCCGAATGGCATGGCTTCTCCTTTGTGCTTGAGTCTGGATGCAAGAGAGAATAGGCTGCCGGATAGGAATGGGCCGACCGCACGGCCTGCGGCAGAAAGGGTTTGAGCAAGTCCGTTGAGGGATCCTAAGACGGCATGATCCGGGGCGGAGTTGGTAATCTAGGTTAGCCAGAGTTAGCCTGATTTTCTTCTTCTCGTATCATGAAAGAGATGGCCATTTACTTACCAGTAGAAGTGCACTGGTCAGTCCGCCAACTGAGGCCACTGTTTTGACGAGCAACGCAAAGCACAACTCAATTGCCAAAAGCGCGGTCTTCCCGCTTATTCCATTACCCCCATTGCTCTTGTATCCGACGAAAGGCATGAGCAGGAACGAAATGACGAAGCCAAACAAGCCCGCTCGGTAAGACCAGCGATTTCCCATCTTATCTCTCAATTTGCCGAAAATGCAAATCTGAAAAATGATCGTAACAAAGCCAGAGAACCCTTGAGCAAGACCGATCTCCGAAGGGGTCAAGCCACGCCCAAGTGGGGGACGGGCTTGCGAGAAGATAGGAAACAACGAGTTGAAAGCAACGTTGCAAAGAGCGAAAATGAGATAGGTCAAAAGGAGCAGCACAGTATCCCGATTAAAAATCTCACTTCGTGTCAACGACTCATGGTGGGTCTGGTGAGTTTCCGATACCTCAGACGCCGAGTCTAGTTCGCTATCGTGATCCTGACTTTCGTACGAGCTCGTACGAAGGTGGCGATAATTGCCAGCATGTGGTGGTTTTACCCGACTCGCGCTCTTTGCAGAGCTAGTCCACTCCCACAACCACGCGAATAGAGCACGGACTCTCTGCTTGAAATCGGGTAAAGTCTCTGCGTCCTCCAAGCTCTCTTCGAGGAAGAATATCGACAGGACGAAATCCACAACTAAGACTCCACCGGCGAGCAGATTCGGCATGAGGTACGGGAAGGGGTTGGGTTGGCTTTTGTCAAAGGGATTCCGCTCGAAGACCAATAGGCCGCCTAACAGAGGTCCAGTTATGCCACCGATACCATAAAGAACAGGCAGATAGGTGAAGGCCTTCGACTGATTGCTCCGATCAGTGATCTCACCCAGGCAAGTGGACACCAGACCTTGGTTGCCATTGACGGCGCCCATCATCGCCTGAACAACGATTGCCTGGTAAAGCGTTCTGCAAAATCCAAAAGCGCAAAAGCAAGCCGCCGTGAGGATTGTGCCCAGCAGGATAACCGGTTTCCTTCCTATCCGATCAGATAGCCAGCCCCAGAAGTAATTTGTGATCAGCTGTGCTACTGCGAACGCAGTAGCAATCGCTCCGACGTATACACCGACCATATCCGGTTCGACTTCGGGGAAGGAGGACGCCATATCGGGCAGGTAAGGACTGACGGAGTTGAAAGCAGTCTGTTCGCAGAGGGATATCATCGCCAAAACCGCCATCTGTTTCTTGGGCAGGGGAGATCCGTGTCCCGATCCATTTTGAGAATCGCTTGGTTGGTGATGCGAGTCGTCGCCTGATGATCCAGATTGGCCGGAGTTCGGTCTTCCGCGAGATTTCGGCGGCGGGGTGTCGAAGGTCTGATAGTGCAGCGTAGAGGAATGTCGCCGATTCAGCGGGTTGTGCTCTTCTGTCCTCATCTCGGCAGAACAGTGGTAGTATGCGAGTTCGTATAGCGACTTTCAGGTCTTCCCAGAGAACAGCGCGATAGAGGCGGTGGCTGAGCCTCACCAACAATCGGAGCAATGACGAATGGCTTCAATTGCCACTACCTCGTTCGCGATGCGGGGGGCGTTGGAGCCCCCAGAAAAGAAGACTCGGGGGTGGATCCGGGGCAACAGCAGCGAACTATAGTCGCAAGTGATGTCAATGACGCGCGCGTATTGTTCAAGACTGGAGATGAAGATTCAAAGCAAAGCAGAAGCTGTCTAAAATCGAGAGAATGTCAAAACAAGGAAGAGGTGCCTGGATAGTCAAGTGCGGAGGAGCCCCGGCAAACCCATGCAGATGATGTAAGCGTTCTGGCTGGACTGGAAGAACCACGGCTGAGTCATCCGGTGGCTGTCGACTGGGTTGATATGACAGGTCTGATAGTGAACTGTTCTCAACAGCAGTTGTATGATGTATATGACAATCATAACACGGGATATTTACTCCCAATGTCACAGGGCTTTACGTGTCCTCGGTATGGACTGACTCATTTGCAAGCGGCGAAGTGCTGCGCCCTCTGTGCCCGTGGCATTCCCCGGTAGGTAACCAGCTACGGATTGCAACATCCGCCTGTTTTAAGGGCTTTCTAGGAGAATTACCAAGAGGTGTTGCGGTTAGTGTCTCTACAGAACTAAGGGTTTCTCTGCGATTGCTTCAGGGAACTGGAATCTATAAAATTGAAGCTGTTAAACCGTGAGCCTCTCACTTATAGCCTTTCATATGCCTCTAAATATATCAGCTGGCCTGCTGGCCCAATGGTAAGGCGCTTGACTACGGATCAAGAGATTGCAGGTTCGAATCCTGCGTAGGTCATTCTTTTTGGGAATTTTTTCGGTTTTTGTCATCCTTGTCTGAATTTCTCTGTTTATTTTCTTCTTTAGATTTCTTTTCATTTTACGTATTTGACATCTACTACATTTTCGCCAATCATTCCATTGCAGTTAATATGCACGGTCAGCTCGTGTAGCCCCCTGCCGGGACCATTGCCATGGCTTATGATAGAGCGCGGTCTTAGAAGCGACGCTGCACTGTCACCCGTTTGAGACCATGGACAGAGTGAACTAGCCTACGTAGGATTTTCATGGATCTTCATCATAGTCCTATTCATTACTCGCCGGTAACTGCATTAATGTAACCTGCGCGCCAATCACTTCATCAACAGATTGACAGCCCAAGGAACACTGAGCCCTCTCAGGTCGCCGTAATGCTGACCAACTCCCAAGAAGACGATGGGAATACCCGTAGCATGCACCATGCTGACCAGGGTGCCCACCATGTCACCAACTGTATCACATTTGCTGATGATGAAGCCGTCAAGGTTTCGCCCAGTACCGAAGGCCTGGTTGAAATTGCGAGCCTGCATCACACTGTCCGTGCCAACCAGGGCTTCGCCGACCATGAAGATCTTGTCTGGGTTAGCGAATTTAGCAAACTTCTCGAGCGAGGACATGAGGCGCTGGTCGTTGTGCCGGCGGCCGGCAGTATCGATAAGCACGACGTCGAAGTGGTTGGCAGCTCCGTATTCGACAGCATCCTTCGCCACGTTCGCTGCATCCTTTCCGTAGCCCTTCTCGTACAGCTCAACCTCGCCAGCGTTCTCGCGGGCACTCAGTTCCTTGAGGTTCCGTGCATGAACACGTAGCTGTTCCACAGCTCCAGATCGGAAGGTATCGCATGCGGCGATTAGAACACGGTATTTGTTCTGCAGCAGGAAATAACAAATCTTTCCCAAATTCGTTGACTTTCCAACGCCGTTTACTCCAACGATCGAGATAACATAAGGACGAGGAGCCTGCTGCTTGCTAGTTGGAGACGTAACTGCATCAATCTCACGAAGCAGATCAAGAGAAGAGGTAGGCGTCAGTATCTTCCGAAGAGATGACTCCATGGCCGAGCGCAAAGCAGCATCCACACTTTGGAAATTGCCTGTTTTTTTCCCCACGAGCTCCCGCTTGACACCCTCGCACAGCCGGACCGCAGCCTCGCGTGCGACGTTCTTCTTCAACAAATGATCTTCCATGGTCTTCAAGGGCTTCTCCAAATCCGCTTCGGTAAGGGTCTTTCCGCCCACGATGTTACGCAGAAGACCTCCAATTGCATTGAATCCTGAACCGACGAAGCCAGCAGAGGATGCATCCTTCGCTTTGTCGCTGCCTGCATTTTCCAAAATAGAGTGAACTTCATCTCCCAGATCTTTCAGTACGAACTGGCCCTTGCCAGTTCTGTGTCCCCAAGAATCTTGCGACACGCCTTCCACAGTCGGAGCAGCCGCTTCTTCACCGTCAGCATGGGCTGAGTAGTCGAGGACCTGACCATCATCCTCATCGGCAAATCCATCGGCATCCCACTTGCGCATCTTTTTGCCGCTCTTGGGTGTTTTTCCTTTGCGGGTTTCGTCGCCTGAGGAAGCATTGGCGCTGGCATTAGCGGCCTTGCGTGCACGACGCGAAACTCGGCCAGCTGGTCCTCCCTTGGCAGTTAAGATGTGGTTTGCAACAGGGGTGGGTGACCGCGATGTATCCGGGGTGTGTGGTGGCGTACTCTCATCAGAGGTCGCCCCAGCTAGCGCAGCTTGATGCTGCGCTTTAGGAATGTTAGCATCATTACAATCTATAAGCCCGTTTTGAGACATACCTTTGAGAAGACCAGGCACTGGTGGCGGAGGGGGGCCGCCATTGTCAGACGAAACCAGCGGGTCTTTCTTATCAACCGCATGAGCCACGAATGCCTCTGAAGAGATAGGCCCCGACTTATCCTCAAGCTCCCGAACTTGCTGGTCAAAGTATTTGTCAAAGGGGTATTGTGCTATCCTTGCGCGGGTACTTCGTAGTTGGTCCTTGTACAGATCGATATACAGGGTTGAGATATTGTCCAGGAGTTTATCGATCCAACCCAGCTGTAAGAGAGACTGATAGACGGCCTAGAGCGAGTTGCGGTCAGAGACAGAAGACCTGAGACGAGGTCGGAGACAGCAACATACCACGAAGATCAAGTCAAATTCCTTCACCCTTTTCCACTTCAAAGTGTACTTCTCTTTCTTAAAAGACGGGGCAGCATTGCTCGTTGCCTGAAGCTGGACCTTTTCCTCAATGAAGACATCACTGATAAGGCTGTTAACAATATGCGCCCCGACGGGCGCGTACGACTTCGACCACAGGACTACCCCTGAGGCAGTTAAGATCTCGAATGCTTCCAACATGCTGCTGATAAGTGGATATGCTGTATTGGTGAAACTGGGGTACGGAGGCGAGTTAACAATGATGTTGGAGTGGACGGCGAGATCCGCGCAGTGGGGAATTTGCGGGCGGCAAGCTGATCTGTCGGTGATCCGAAGGGAAGGACTTCAGCCACGTAGAAACACACCTCAACCTTCCTCCCATTCTGCGCTCCAGTCACCCCCGATTTGCCGTCTCGGCAACCCCTCGAGCTTTGCAAGACAATCTTTAACTATTGAACTCCTCTTAACTAGTTTCATTACCACCCAAGAACCATGTACCGCCAGTCGTTCGCTCCACCCCCGGCGCAGTCCCCTCCCCTTCACCATCCTGTGCCTCAGCATGTCTCGACCGTCCCCATGATGCGCTCGCCGCCGCCTCCGGCATCACAGCAGCCTCAGACCTCTGGCTATGGCAACCCATATCAGCCCGCCCCTGCGCAGGGTGGCAGCGGAACGTATGCTCCTGGCTTTGGGGGGTTCATCAATGATCCCACCGCGCAGATGGGATTCCAGGTCGGAAAGACCGCCATGGCAGCTGGGCAGGAATATATGGAGCAGAACGTAAGCAGCAGCTTCAATGGTGCCTATACATGAAAGTGTTGCTAACTAGGCGCAAAGTTCAATCGCTATGTCTCTATACCAGCTCTCAAGCACTACTTCAACGTCTCCAACTCTTATGTCCTGAACAAATTGTCTCTCGTTCTCTTCCCTTGGCGGCACAAGCCTTGGTCCCGTCAACAGGCACGCCTTACAACAGCTTCAACGGGCCCCAATGGCCAGATATCCCAGCAACAATACTCATCCATGTTCCTGCCTCCGCGTGACGATCTCAACTCCCCAGACATGTACATCCCCGTCATGGCACTGGTCACATACATCCTTCTCTCAGCGATGCTGGCCGGATTCCGCGGTAACTTCCATCCGGAGCTGCTTGGTTCGATCACGACCACAGCTATCGCCGTCATTTTGTTCGAGATAATGTGCTTGAAGCTGGCTATGTACATTCTCAGCATCAACAACGAGTCGCAGCTGCTGGATCTGGTGGCATATTCGGGATACAAGTTTGTCGGCATCATTGTCACTCTGTTGACATCTGAGATCCTCACTCCAGGCCGAGGAACCGGCGGCTGGGTTGGCTGGGTCGTCTTCATTTACACCTTCCTTGCTAATGCCTTCTTCCTGGTACGTTCACGGCCGTATGCTTTGTTGACGACTGTACTAATGACGCACATAGCTCCGTTCCCTGAAATACGTTCTTCTCCCGGACTCTACGAGTGATGCGTCTATGCGCACTGGTTCTATGCATACGGTTGCTCGCTCGCAACGTAACCGTCGCACTCAGTTCCTGTTCATCTACTCCTATGTGATTCAGTTCGTTTTCATGTGGGTGCTGAGTCGGGAGGGGCCGATGTCGATTGCGTCTCGTGGTGGAGCAACTGGTTCAGCGTAGGGTCATATCGTACGGGGTTGCACATAATGATATAGACGGACCTCATGAAAAGGGATAGGGATATTAGTTCATATTCATGTACGTTTTGTGGAGAGCAGTAAAATCGAATTAAATCACTATTTTCATAGATCAAGAATGTATATGGTGACATTGTTCACCTGCATTGACCTGCATTTGGTCACGCAGAACATGAAGTCATACCTGAGGGCGGATCATACACGAGAGCCACTGGTCGGACGGGGTCAGAAGATTTTAGAAGGGTGCGGGGTCTCAACGATTCTACAAGATAGATTTTCTACAAGCTCAAAAATGTCCATAATTTTAATGAAAAAAGATTCAATTTCATATTTTTCTAGCTAGTGGCTGTATAGCAGCGCAATCGGAAATCCTATAATCCCACGAGTTAGAACTCAGTCAAACAAGCAATGAGTGACAATATTGTGGAATGAGATGCTCCTCAGAGATCTTGGTGATGAAGTAAATTTCATTGCCAAAGGCATCAACTACTATCTAGGCGTGATAAAGTTTTTTAATCACTGGAGGGGGGTGTGCAAGCAAGGAAGTGCAGTGGCAACGTACCGAAAGAGCGAGCTGTTGGCAACAGTAAGAGTTGAGTGGCATGAATGCGCAAACCTGTTTAGTCTTCAACATGTTAGCGATGAGACTCCATGAAGGTATATATGGTGTCAAGAAACAATGTAGAAGTGAGGATATCAGAATATGTAAGAAATTGAATATCATGCGACAGTGCTGTATAAGAACCCCGGCGAGGGCTCACAGACACTGGGTCAATCGCAAATTACCGCATCATGTAAGGAGGGAAGGAAGTAAACATAGAAAGCTTCAAGGTAGAAAGAGCTTACCAGTTAATGTGTGGAGAGTCCAGCTCCCTGGTGGAGTTTTGAGTGTTAGTAAACAAGATGGCGGAGTAGTTCTGGACAGAACGACATTATGTTCTGATGCAAGATGGCGAAAAGGTCGACAGAGTCTGGACCTTTTAAGTTCTGCAAGATAGCAAGAGGAACAAGCAAAGTAGATCGCGTTGAAAACTTGAAGCTTAAAAGCAACTCCATCGGAGCGGATAATATCCGACCTCCGATGGAGCGCGCTAAGGCCGGGAGGCAGCCCTAGGCCGCACGCAAACGCCCCTGGGTGGGCTGCTACTGGCTGCTAAGCGAGACTCTTGTGGGCGAAGGGCCGCAGCACCGAAATTCGCTATCCAGCAGACCAGAGCGACTTGTGCGTTTCGGACGACTTCGACAACCCGACATTTCGACAACAAATTATCAACACCGTCCTCCCGGAGTCTGTCGACCGTGAGTTGCTGTCCGCCCTTACCGTGATCCCCGCAAGACTTCAACTAAGACGTCCCTTTTTTTGCTATTTTTCTAGGAAGCCTTCGCCATGGCCGATATCGATGTTCAGGTTGCTCAATGGAAGCTGGTTGAGGTTGGCCGCGTTGTGCTGATCCGCAGCGGTCCTTACACCGGCAAGCTCGCTGCCATTGTTGAGATTGTCGACCACAAGCGTGTACGTTTTTTTTGCGCATATACCGGAGTTGCTACGAGCGCGAAGGGATCGGATTTATATATATTAGGAGGGAACGCGATATTGACAAAATTGTTGCATCGATTAGGTCTTGGTTGACGGTCCCTCCACCGAGGAGCAGAAGATCGTTCCCCGCCACGTCCTTCCTCTCTCCCACGCCACCCTCACTCACTTCGTCATCCCCCGTTTGCCCCGTGCTGCCGGTACTGGCCCCGTGAAGAAGCTTTGGCAGAAGGAGGAGATCGATGGCAAGTGGGCCAAGTCCAACTTCGCCCAGAAGACCGAGCGCGCTGAGCGCAGGAAGAACCTGTCCGACTTCGAGCGCTTCAAGGTCCTCCGCCTCCGGAAGCAGGTACGTTTACGAATCGCGATGATGTGACATGCACGGATTATTGGGTTATATGGAGGAAAATCATATGAAAGTGGTCGGGACTATGGGTCGATTACTGGGAAAGAGCCGGGGATATGATGTGCATGGGAATTGCAGGAACAAGTGCTGACATGTTGGATTTTACAGGCTCGCTACGAGGTCCAGAAGGCTCACGCTAAGCTCAGGGCGGCTGCTCCTAAGTCATAGACGGTTCATGAGGCTCGGTGCATAGAGTGACAGGGTTGCCTTGGGACGGGGTTATTTGCTGATGGTTTAATTTATTTTCAGCAAAATGGGCTGTACGCATTATTGACAGCATAAAAATGATTCAAGAACCTTTGATATCCTGGCATAGGTTATCCTCGTACGTCATGAAAGATGGAGGGCGGCACGGAACGCCTTGCAATTAGTATATGGCAAATGGTATCTCGGGGTATTAATGATCTTGACATGACCTGGTCATCAACTTAGACAAAAACCAATCCACAAAGCCAAATATGTTCCAGTAAATCAAAAACAGTAGAATTGATACGGTGCAATGAATTGCTGCAGATTAGATCATATTTAAATCAAATGGAAAATGAACACTTGCGTCAGTAGAAGTGGTGGTTGTACTACGATCTGTAGATGCATCGCTTCTGTGTGTCCGGGGTGAGGGTCCCAATAAGCTCGCTAACGATTTTCGGCAGGATGACATTCACACAGCTTTGCGACTTCCCAACTACAACAAGGCAAAAAAATCCCCCTCATCCACCACAGCCCTTTGTTCCGCGTCTAGGTAAGTTGAAATGGAATTCCTTGCCGCGAAGTTCAATTTTACGGTCGATTTTGGCGATTTCCCGCAGATTTGTGGGTGTACCACGGTCTGAGAGGGACATCTTCGAACCTCCCACCTTCCAGCGACCAGTCACGTCCCACAGTGCGATTTGCTGACCATCAACTCTACAGCCCTTCTAGGCTCACTCGAATTACAAAATGGCCGACCCCCGTGTTGAAGAGCTCCCCGACGAGGAGGTTCCCAAGACCAACGTTGAGGATGCCGGCAGCTCCTCCGAGTCTGAGGCTGGCGATGAGCCCACCATCCCCGGTGGTGCCGCTGTCACCATCCACTCTCGCAACGAGAAGAAGGCTCGCAAGGCCATTGGCAAGCTCGGCCTGAAGCACGTTCCCGGCATCACTCGTGTCACTCTCCGTCGTCCCAAGAACGTATGAATACGGCCCTGTCCCTCCTTCCCGTGCGACGCTCAACAAAACCTGCACTCGTGGGAGTTATTGTGGGCGACGAAGGATTTTCTCATACCGCAGAAGGCTAATCTATCGCATATAGATCCTTTTCGTCATCAACCAGCCCGATGTCTACCGCTCCCCCTCCAGCAACACCTGGATGTATGTGTCTCTTTGGACTATGACGAATTGATGAATCATCTCAAGCTTACATTGTTGCGACAGCATCTTCGGTGAGGCCAAGATCGAGGACCTGAACGCCACCGCTCAGGCTACCGCTGCCCAGCAGCTTGCTGAGGCTGCTGCCAACGAGCACGCTGGTCACGACCACGAGCACGACCACGGCAAGGGCAAGGCCCCCGAGGCTGAGGCCAAGAAGGAGGAGGAAGAGGATGATGGCGAGGAGGTCGATGAGTCTGGTCTTGAGGCTAAGGACATCGAACTGGTTATGGCCCAGGCTAATGTGTCCCGCAAGAAGGCCGTCAAGGCTCTCCGGGAGAACGACAACGATATCGTCAACTCCATCATGGCTCTCAGCATATGAACACCGCCGGAAATGAACGCATGAATCGGTGGCTGGCGTCTCTTGGCCCTGCTGGCAGGATGGATTTTGGGTGCGAGGTCAGATTGATATCCCCTAGGATGCATGTACTGTCAGGCCCCATAGTGTAAATCATTTAGCCAAAAGCAGAATTGAATGATGTGAAGCACTATTTGGCACCTTCCATTTGGGTGGAATATATTCTAAATTATAAAAAGAAGAAAAGAAAAAGTTACACGAATTATTCCGTAACCGGAGACTTATTCAAATTCGAAGAAATTCGGGCTATAATTGAATGTATAAGACATGTAAGCCCTCCGGACTATCTATACGCACACCCGCCCCCCTGCGAACTCCCCTTGTGTAGTGCCAGTTCGGGAACACGGGAAAGCCGTGGTCACGTGAGGGCATCCCCATTCCAAATCTTGCCGAGTTCAACCCTCACCCTCCCGGAACCTCCAGCTTCGCACGTTGAACTCCCCTCTCTCCCCCAACCTTCTCCGTTCCACATCTCAAAATGGCCACTGTATGTGGGGATCCTGTTTTTGTCATAAAATTGTTTCGGATGGCGAGAGAAATGTGTCAGCTAACTGCGTGGTGTACAGCGTAGCGCCGCTCTCAAGGTCGACTGGGCCAAGTTGACCAGCTCCCTCGGACTCCGCGGCCAGACCGCTGCTTCCCTCCAGGCCTTCAAGAAGCGTAACGACGATGCGCGCCGCAAGGTTCAGATCCTGTCTGAGCAGGCCCAGACTGTCGACTTCGAGCACTACCGCAAGGTCCTGAAGAACCAGGCCATCGTCAACGAGATCGAGAACCACTTCAAGACCTTCAAGCCCGCCACCTACGATGTCAGCCGCCAGCTGAAGGCCATCGACGCTTTCGAGGCTCAGGCCGTCAAGGGCGCTGAGGAGACCAAGGGCAAGGTTGAGTCCGAGCTCCGCAGTCTCCAGAAGACCCTCGAGAACATTGAGACCGCTCGTCCCTTCGAGGACCTCACTGTTGTATGTTATGGTGTTCCTGAGTTGGAGTACGCAAGGTTTTGGTACAGATTTATTAATGTCTCTTCTTCCTTTCTGTTTAGGACGAGGTTGCCGCCGCTCAGCCCGAGATCGACGAGAAGACCGCCTCCCTTGTCTCCAAGGGCAGATGGATGCCGGCTGGTTACAAGGTGCGTGATACAATACCTGCGTTAATGCCTGAATCTGCGACGAGTGAAACTAATGGATGTTTGAATTACAGGAGCGCTTCGGCGACATGTCCGTTGTTTAAACGGTCACATCTTTTGTACCTATTTACGTCTCTCCATCCTTCGACCAGTATAATCACACGAAGTTACCCTTTGTTGTCAAGCATGTTGGCCAGTTAGGATACCCTTGCTCTCTGGCAGTGTGATGTCGGTTGTAGGGTCATGTATAGAAACAATGTTGAATTTAGATGGTTCCCTCACCACCGGACCGTTTTTGTATATCGGCCCTCGACCGCTATGTTACGCTCCATATCAAGCAGTCGACTATTTTTTACCATTGAAGGTGTTCAGTATGCACGGTCTAATAATCAGGTCAAATCAAATCGTAGCAGTTCGCAAGGACATTGCGAATAGTGGGCACCCAGTGCGACGTCTTATCGGCATTAGTCCCATGCCAACACCAAGGGCAGTCAAGATGATAAAATTAGATGCTTCTTTATTACGATCCCCGCCTTTTCCCCCAAATTCAAGGACCAGTTCGCTCCGATCGCATTGCTTCCAATTTCGGTCTTGATTGCCGCATTGAGCAACCTGTTTGTTTGTCATGGTCGTAGTTTGCAAGGCGTCTGTGATTAGACTCGAGACTTAGCCGATCCCGAGCAGCCTAAACTCTCTGCGCCAACAACAACACAGGGAATCCCGCACTTCAAGGCTGACTCTGGATTGCACATCCACGTCGTGATGGATCGATTATGAGCCACAAAGCCAAATCATCAAAGTTAGAGGCTTAAGATTACCTACTGTGAACCTATTTGTTATCGGTTCAATCAAATTACGATCTCCACTCTGACAGATTCGCGCCCCTATTTTTGCTTCGCCAGGAACTCAGCTGAGAGACTGAGTGGTCTAGACCTTATTTTGATGACCATTAAACACCGATGGCCCTGTCAATCTACAAGTACTTAAATCCAGGATGGTAAGCTTATCGCCAGGATGATTGTTGGAGCTCAGGCCATCTTCTCCCAAGTACCGTCCCTCAGGACTTCATAATATATAATCCCTCCAGTATACGGATAGTTACTACTTGAAAGGCCATTACTATTGAGTTCACAATGCCTAACGTCTCGCAGCCGGCCCTAGCCGGATTATCAGCACTCGAGAGGCTACCAGTGGAAATTATCCAAGAGATCTTCCTCCACTGTCTCGAGGTCAACCTCCCACGAGCCTCCATCCACATTGCCCGGGCTCTCTCCAACACGGTCCTATACACCTGGGTCATTCGCTATGTCTTCAGCAGCACCAACGAAAGCGCAAGACGGGATTTCTTTACACCTGATTTTCTTCCCTGGCCTCTTGATGTTTTCTCCATCTCTCCCAATGAGAGGAAGAACCTGCAAACCGTCATCCTCGGTTGTCGCTGGTGTACACTACCTCTGATCCGCAAGTGCCAGAGGGACTACATCGAGCACACGATCCGCCGCAAGTGTCTACAGCTAGACTTATCACCGGAAGACCGCCAGATCCTCACCAATATTGGCGAACACTTCGACAACGATCAACATCTCACGCCTGATGACACGATCCATGCTCATCGCGGCAAAGGCGACCTAATCCTCAAAGGCAAAATTCCAAAGTCGGATGTGGACTGCAAAGTTGCAGTGTGGTTCGAAGCTGGCGCAGTCCAGATCCGTCCTTCCAGTGAGATCTACCAGGAGACCGACATCTTCCGGCTACCATGCTTCGCAGCCAACCTACCAGTCCAGGTCCCGGACAAGATACTTTTTCCTCCTTGGACCGACTCTAAACTGGACTTCCTCGAGCTACTCTCAATGGACGGCTATCTTGACGAGGACCCCGAACACCCGCGGGCGAAGCGGATCCTCCGACAGACGATCCGAGACCGCGACCTCGCAACGTTCAAGCGATTGCTGAGCATGCGGATTCGGGTGCCGTGGTACAAGTACCCCATTCGGTGGCCGGTCCTGCCAAATCACTTCTACGTGGCTTTGAAGTATGCGGACGAGGTGGAGGACCCTTTCGTCCGGTTGCTGGTGAGTCAGCGATGGGAGGATATCCCATCTGACGACTTTCAGCTCAAGGATCAATTGATGGCTAAACTTGGGACAGGCATCTCGGGATAAATTGCCAGGATGACCTCAGTCCGCAGGACATACACGATATACAACTACGGGGTACGCGTATTTTACTTCGACATTTCATAAAATGGTGAAAGATTTCATTGCTCGATATGGAGACACAGGATATCAGGCACAACAAATAAGATGAGAAGGAAACGCAGCAGCAATCCAAAGGAACCACAAAAACTCCGAACTGATATCCATATTCATATCCGTCATAACGTCATGGCGTTCAAGGTCAAAGGTTGAGGTCAAGGTCGGACATGTCGCGTGTTTAACTAATGTCAGACCCTTGACCTCCGCGTTCTTCTCCTCCTTCCACCACAGGATCCGCAAGTCAGGCACGAGATGATCACGTCGAAGAGGGTAACGACACCGTCGATGATGGCTTTGCAGACAGCACCGATCGTGTTGACGATGCCCATCAGGCAAGCGCCGATGGCGTGGAAGATACTAGTGATCTATATAGATGGGAGTCATGTTAGCCAATCATAATTTCATTTGCTAGAAGAAGAGAGTCATACGCAAGAAACCACAGCACCCATATTGACGACTCAAACGTAATCCGTTGTAGCAGTAGTAGTAATTGTATGTAGTATGATAGATAGATGATGGATGGATGAATGGATTTATTTCGATCCCTTCGGCACCGTAGAATTATAGCTCGAAGAAGCAGGAGTATGAGTAGAAGTGTCACTGAAAGGACGCATGTTGATGGAAGAACTTGAAAGTATCCACGGAGGTATATATATGTATATGTCGTGCAGCGACAATTGAATGAAGAAGAAGTACAAGGGGGACGATCGATGATGTATGTGTCTTAACACAAGTAGTACTTTTCCAAGTGAAAGAAAAGAAAAGATAATTACTAGCCAAAAAATAATATGATCGACATACATACACACACCCTACATATTAAATATGAATATTTCCCAGTTTTTTCATCTTACAATAGGAATTCTAATCCTTGGAACCATCTGTTGTTTACTTGGGATGGGATGGGATGCCGTCATACCGACGACAGAACGACGCTGATGATGTTTTCTCCCTTCGGGGAATTTCCGGTGCGGATCAAGTACCCATTCATTCACATTTTTTACTTTAATTATATTTTAGGTCATATTTTGATTTGATGTGACGACGGAGGGCAGAGTGTTTCATTTAGTGTTTGCCACTTATGATAAGGCTGAGTTGAGACAGGACCCCTTGAAGTTGACGTTATGGCTGGTCTTGATTTTTCCCCTGTAGGTTTGAACAGGGGGAGGGGGTGGTGTAGTGACGTCATGACTTGTGATGTTTCCCCCCTGGTTCCTTGTGGCTGGATGGGGATTAGTGGTAGGGTTTGATGGTGATGGATTGGGAAGGGGGAAGGGGGGAAAGGTCAGGTGAGAGGGGATGCCCTGGGGTTGAGTTTGCTTTGTTTGATAGCGATGTCTTGATTGTTTCCAAGATATACAAAGTAGTGAGGTAAAGGGATTATATGCATGCATAATGTCATTATATAAGAATCTATTTACCTATGTTATGTTATGTTATGTTATCGTACACATTACCATCACCATATCGATAATCTACACCATCCCTTTCCCTTTCGTACCATCCACCACTTATAATCTATTGAGGTTTTGGATATTACATATTCGTCAACAGCCTCAAAATACCACTCACTCTCCCTCCCAACGTAATCTGATATCCCGTCTCCACGACTCCCTTACACATCTCCCATGCACCCGTGCCGTCCTGCTTCGCACCGTCACCCTTGCGAATAGGATAGTCCACTCTGGGCGGAATCCTCGTCGCCATAAGCTTAGGGAACCGATCCACGCAGACTGCCTTGATATTACTGACACCCCTCAAGCCCTCTTCACCCGCAAACCGACCGTATCCGGATCCCTTGACGCCACCAAACGGCAATTGAACCGCATAGTAGCTGCCAAAGTCATTGACGGACACCATGCCCGACTTGATGTTCGCCACGCACTTCGCGATATCAGTCTGGTTGTAGCCGAAGACGCTGGCACCCAGACCGTAGTCCGTTGAGTTGGCGATGGAGATGGCGTGGGGGACGGAGGAGGCGCGCATCACGAGGAAGACCGGAGCGAAGAGCTCCTGCTGGGCGATCTTCATGGTCGGGGTCACGTCTACCAGGAGAGTCGGGGTGAAGTAGTGGCCTAGAGGGTGCTCCGGGTGCTCGAAGCGCTTTCCACCGCAGATCAGACGAGCGCCTTGCTTGACGGCGTCGGCGATGAGGGATTCCAGGCGGTCGAAGGAGGCCGGGGAGATCATGGCGCCGACGTCGGGGGTTCCGGCGGAGGTTTGGGAGTCGAGGAGGATGGAGCCGAGGCGAAGACGGGCGATACGGGAGGAAACGATTTCAACGAGCTTGTCGTATGCGTTGGGCAGGGCGATGATGCGCTCTACGCCGATGCAGTTCTGGCCGGCGGATTGGAAGACACCACGCATGAGGATCGAGGCGATGGCGGGGATTTCGCTGACGGTGCGGGAGTCATCGAGAACCAGGGCTGGGTCCTTGCCGCCCAGTTCGACGGTCACCGGGGTGAGAGATTTAGCGGCGGACTCGCAGACTTTGTGGGCCACGGGCTTGGAGCCGATGAAGGTCAACTGGGAGATATCCGGGTGGGAGGTCAGGTGGTCGGCGACGTTGGGGAGGCAAACGATGCTTTGAACGAGGTCGCGCGAGTGGCCGCAGCTGGAGAGGGCGCCGCGGATGACCTCGAGGAAGAAAGCGGAGGACCATGCGGTTTGTTCGGAGGGCTTCACGACGACGCCGTTTCCTGCGAAGATAGCACTGATAACAGGGGATATGAAGTTGTGGAAGGGGTAGTTCCATGAGACGCAGGCGGAGACAACACCCAGAGGCTCGTAGGTGACCATGTTCTTCTTGTACATCATGAGGAAGTTTGTCGGGCGCGATTCCGGTGCCAGGGCCTTTTCACCGTGGTCGAGGGTCCATTTCAGCTTCTCAGCGGTGACGAGGATCTCTCCGAATGCAGCGTCGACTTTGGTTTTGCCTGAATCCAAGCAGCAAGCGGTCACGAGTTCATCCTGGTGGTCGAGGACGTATCTGTTGGACGAAGAGTTCAAGGTCAGTGGCTGCGTTGGTGGGTAAAAATTTACATGGCAAGATGAGTACACACTTCAGCAACGTCCTCAGGACCTTCCTCCTCTCTGCAAAGCTAGTATTGGCCCATTCCAGTTGTGCGCTCTTCGCAGCCAGGACTGCGCGATCGACGTCGTCAGGAGTTGCGGGTTTGATTCCATTGCCGAGTACTCGTCCGTCCGCGGGACAATAGCTCATGATCAGGTTGTCGTTCCATTGCTGCGAAGGAGAAAAAAGTCAGGAGCATGTCAAGATATTTAGAGGTAGGTATGTTCTGTAAAGGAGAGGGTATAGGCACTTACACCCCGAACTTGTCCCTCCAGCACTTTTCTTCCCTCCCCTTGAAGGCTGTCCCATTTTTCGCCCTTCCAATTGGCCCGAATCTCTGGAGGAATAGGCACATTGAATGTAACGGCAGCTTCCTTCCTGCCCAGAACGTAGAGATAACCAAGGTACGCGGCTGCGAGCGAGAGCAACGTGACGCCGAGTAACGGGCCCTGAGTCCGGAGATGGTCCACCAGAGGCAGGAGAGACGGAGGGATGAATTGGTTGAGTGAGTCCATGGTGAAAGTCGCACGGGGCGATTGACTCAAAGCTCTGCTTTCCCGGGCCCTTCTGAGTGTGCGAAAAGACAGGGAAAGGGCACAAGGGAGGAGGGGAGTTAAGGACTGTCCGGAGGTGGTTCGATCGATTATCCACTGCTCCGATATGCGGGTGCACGTGCCAAGGGGGCGGGTTCCATCCAGCTTTTTGCAGTAAACAATTGACAAGAGGTCCTGGCCAGATATAAAGATAGAAACCTATTCATTTATATGTTCTTAGGGCTTCATAGTCATTCGGGGCTTGATTATTTTACCTTATAGATTCGTCTCAAGCGGTGTCTCAGAAAGTCGGTTGAACGGCCAGACGTAGATCTTCATCGGATATATATAGTGCTAGTCCTACTGCTACTGATTAGTACTTGTGGAATTCATCGTCGCCATGAAATGGGCCGGATAATTTATTGTTTTCTTTAAAAACCTCTAGCTCTACCTCGTTCAAGAAATGACAACACCAACTCGGTAATTAACCGCAAACCACCCCGTACATAGGTATTAGTCACACATGGTGTTGAGGTTAAAAGCATCCCTGCTCAACCACGGCGTTTCCGTCCATTGGGTTTGACTTCCTCTGTTGACTCCGTGCTACCTCCCTTCCTCTTTCCAGTCCGTTTCACCAAATGGTCAATCACACAACCCTCCTCCCATCCGGCAGATGACTGCCCAGTGATTGCCCGACAACGTGGGCAAGACTTACCATGACGGATGAGGAGCTGATGAAGGGAATACTTCAGATGATCAGGGATGCGTACTTCGAGATGGCTGAACGCCGTAATCTCCGTGGCTTTGTCCGGAGGCACCCAGCCCAGCCATTTGCAGATACGGAAGATGTGAGTATCGACCGCAAAGCAAGGGCGTTGCAAACAAAACAGTAAGACACAAGCAGCAGTCTTCGGTCCTATCCCGGGGTATTTGACCAACTCCACCATGGCGTCCTCTGTGGCTAAGCTGTGAAGATGGTTCAAGGATAGGAAATTCTGGTCAGCGCATGCAATCTCGTATTGCTTGCCACCTTCGGACTTCGTAAGCAGATCCTGCGGCGCGTCCTGAGAACCCTTCAGCAGCATGTCTCTGCGCTGCTGATTCTCTTCGTAGACCATGTCTAGTATAGCCTTGATCTTCTTGCTTTTGACGTCTGCTAAGCCGCCACGCTTGATGGCTTCAAAGACATCTTTGAGTGGCGCCCGACGGACAGCATCCCAATTCACACTTCCTTTACCAATACCCTCTTTCAGGATACCAAACCTCTGCACAAGACCGTTAAAAGCCATGGCGGAGTTATTGCCCGTTGTTGCTCCGCTGAGCAAAGTGCGAATGAGAGCATCAAGGACTGATGGAACCTCGCCACAGCCGGTAACAGTAAGAGATGGCTCGGGGATAGTGGTAGGCGCAACAATCTCTCCATGTACGGTCGAGAGCAACCGATTGACTTCTTCACATTCATCAGGGGTGGGGTGCGCCCAATCTGGGAATGGGCTAATTCCAGGTGTGAGGCCATATGTATTAGTCTTTTTGGATCTCTTCTGTTTTTCTCTAGGTTCCGAGGCCGCTTTTGTGGCCTTGTCCACAGTGTTCTGCAGTGTATTGGAAAGTGCATCTATCTCTTCTTTCTTTATAGTGGTGTCGCTGGTGTCTAGCTTGATTGGGGAGCTCTTATCTGGCAGCTCGGATAGCAGAGTAGCTGAACCTAGGTTGTGAGGGAGTTCTTGAGCATCATTGAATCTTGTAGTTCTGCCGTTTG